GCCTATGTAATTCTCTTGTAACAGTATGCAAAGTCACTTCAATGACTGAACCCATAAAAAAAAAAGGCATTGCTTTTAATTTAACCACTTGCCCTCCAGAGGATTTACCCCCCTTCCTGACCAGGCCATCTTTTGCGATACAACGCTGCGTTATGTTAACTGACAATTGCGCAGTCATACAATGCTGTACCCAAAAGAAATTTACGTCCTATTTTTTCCCCCACATAGCGTTTTCTTTCAGTGGTATTTGATTGCCTTTGCGGGTTTTTTTTTTTTGTTATAGCACACAAAATAAAGACCGACAATTTTGAGGGGGGAAAAAAAAAAAAAAAAAAAAAAAAAAAAAACACAAATTTTTTATAATTTTTTTTTTTACTAGTAATGGCGGCGATCAGCGACTTATAGTGGGACTGCGGCGGCCATTCACTAGGGGGAACTGACTTTGTGTCACTGACATCCCCAGTGACACCAATACAGTGATCAGTGTACAGTGATCAGTGCTAATAAAAAGCACTGACACTGTATTAATGACACTGGGCAGGAAGGGGTTAACATCGGGGGCAATTAAAGGGTTAACTGTGTGCCATTTCACATTATGTGCTGTGTGCGCGCTTCACTGTAAGCACGCTGCTTTGTATGGCTCTGCTATGCAGAGCCATACAAAGCAGTGTGCAGGAGCTGACAGGGGAGAGAACTGTATTGTTTACAGTTCTCTCCCCGGTCGGTATTACTCGGCGATCACCGAGTGCAGGCGAGTAATCACCGACCGGGACCCGGTGATTGACAGCCGAGGCCACAAATGGCGGCGCGGGAGGGGCACGGCCCCCCTACCCAGAACTGCTAAATCACGCACACACTTTTGTGCACCCGTACCACCCTGTAAGCATCATTTCTGCTTTAGGGCGGATGGCAAGCCGTTAAAATAAAAAATGACATGCAAGAAGCAGTGGTATTTTGCCTTGTTTTTCACAATTTGACAAAGAAACCCCACCAAAAATCTATAAAATATCAGATTTTGATAGCAAACAATTAAACAATTTAATTAAAAAAGAAAATTAAGCCAAATTGTGTATACCTTGGTCTCTCTATCTTTTTCATTCTTCTCCTCTGTTTTCTTGTCTTCTGCTTTATTAGCCTCTGTATCTGCATCTTGCTGCTCAGTTTGCTCTGGTATGTCCTGTTCATCCTCCTTTGGGGGTTCACTTGGAACTTCCTCTTCTTCCTGCATACAGAATATTCCAAAAAAAAATTAAAACCAAAACACATACTGTATATTAAGACACCATGCATAGAAAATATATAGAACATTGTAGATTTAATATTTAGAACTACAATCTTTTAAAAAAAAAAAAAAAAAAAAAAAAACACACGACTTGTCAGCAAGGCCTGAAATTCCTTTGTAGATGGAGATGAAAATAAACTTTGAATCCTTATGGGGCATTCTGGATAACAATAATCAAAAGATTTAGTAACCTAAATTGTAAAGTCTCTTTTTTTTAAACAAGTTATACTTCCCTGCTCTGTGCAATGATATTATACAGAGCGGCCCTGATCCTCCTTTTCTGGGGTCCCCCATTGGCGCTCCTGGCTCCTCCTCTTCGGTGTGCCCCGACAAGAAGGCCAGCATTACTGACCCCAAGCACCACCCAAAATATACTACAGCAGGACAGGACTGTACACATGCTGTAGCTGCAATGCTTTGCTTTTTAACTCTGGTTGCACAGTTTGATAAGTGGCACAGCCTGTCAAACTTGCCCACAGTTTAATGGGACCACACTGCAACCCTAAGCCAAATGTTAGTCTCACAGTAGCAGTACCGCAATGTAAAACTGCTGATCGGCAATTACAAAATAAAAAAAAACACAACCGCAACAAAAAACAGGAGGCACCTCCTAAACTACTGTAAGCTGCTGCTATACCACCCTCTGAAAAGCATCCACTGCAGATTATTTTTCAGAGGTCAGAAAGCATTACCACAAGTCGGAAAGAAGCCATACTCTTATGATTGCCCATACCATTGCAGACTCCACTCTGCACATAATATTTGGCAACAGACATGGGAAATGATAAAGGTTGCATTTAATTAACCAAATTGCAAACCCATCCATATGTAGAAAGTGGAGAGAAAGAAAAGCCATCAGTTCAGGTTTGTACTCCTTACATCAGGTTGTGCGTTGACCTTGGATATGGGCTCTTTGTATTCCATGTTTGGCATACAGCCTCACCATTTATCAGACTGTACCCCTTGACACATTTTTTTTTGCCATGTTTTGACGGATTCTCTAGCAATTAGGGAACCATTTGGCTTTACTCAGAATTCTGTTTGCCACCTAATTTTAATTTAAAAGCATGCTTAAAGTAACACTACATAACTATCCTCATTCTCCATAAATCATCAATACACCCCCCAACTTAATGGCCCTACAATCTATTTTTCATAACATCATTTTTAAACTGCGTTTTCTGTCTACCTGTAATGTCCTCCGTGATCACCTGAATCTCTCCTTTTTCCCCCCCTCACTTCTGTTTGCTTGCTTGGAATAAGTAGTTGAGGTCATGTGCACTACTTTATACACACTACAACTCCCATGGCCCATAGTGCCTGTGCATTTTTGGTAGCCCTCCCAACTGCAGCTCTAAATGAAGCCTAACAGATACCAGCTAGAAAACCTTATCATCTGGGGCTAACTTTACAAGTGACTTTGTAATTTTGATTTTAGCATTATATTTTTTATATAACTTTTTCCTTTACTGTGCCAATCAGTTGTATATGGTTTGATCTTTAAAACTATTTTATTACCTGAACAGTATCCGTAGCATTATCTTTGATATCTGTGCTAGAGCTTCCTCCTCCGAATAAGCTAGATATTGTGTTTCCAAGCTCTGAAGAAGACAAGGTAGTGTTATTAAAATAACAGAATAAACCATGAGCTAAAAAAGGTACATCTAAAGTGATACTAAAAAGGTTCAGTTTTGTTTTTTTATACATGTTATACTTATCTGCTCCGTGCAGTAATTTTGCACATAGAAGCCCGGATCCTCCTCTTCTCTGGTCCCCAGCCGGTGCTCCTGGTTCCTTCTTCCTGTTGGGTACCCCCATAGCAAGAAGCTTGCTATGGGGGCACTTGAGCATGCGAGCTCCCGAGCCACTGCTCCGTGTGTCTATTCACAAATTGGAGTCGCAGCTCAGCATTGCCGCCTATCTCCTTATTGGCTGACTGGCTGTGACCGACAGCAGCGGAAGCCAATGGCTCCTGCTGCTCTCGCAGCCAATAAGGAGGCACAGACCAAGGACAGCCGATTTTCTCGTGGATGACAATGCGGCGGCTTGACACTGGTTTTTTGCCTCCATGTGTAGAATGGTTGCCTTTAAAACCAACCACTTTAAGCAGGCCATACAGGGGGGGGGGGGGGGGGGGGGGGGGGGGGGGGGGGGGGGGGGGGGGGGAGGAGAGGAAGGAGGGAGGAGGAAGAGGAAGGAGGGGGAGGAGAGAAGAGGGAGGAGGGGAGACCACACACCTCATCGATGGTCTGCTTAGGTGTGTATGTTTTAATTAATTTAAAACCATTCATCTCAAGTAAATCAACAGCTATTAGTGATAAAGCCATTACAACCAATTATTGTGTTGGCCGAAAAGAATCTGAAGTAAGCATCTCTTAAGGAGGTAGCATCACTTACTTGTCAATGTAGATTCTTGCTCTGACTTCTCTTCTAATGCAGTCTCAAAGACAGACTCAACCTATAAAAAAAAAAAAAAAAAAAAAAAAAAAAAAAAAATATATATATATTATACACAAGATGTAAACTGTATTTTGAAATAAAAGTTTGTGTTTAACTCAAAAATGATAATATTTATCTAGTATTAATGGTAAAGGTCTCATGAACATTTTCAGAAAAGGTCATATAGAAGAACTAATTCTGATGACAAAACATATGCACAAAAGGAGGTTCACTTAAGTAGTGTGCACTATGAAGCAGCCATGCAACAAACACACTCAATTTTACAACTTCAGTCAAGACCTTGCTTAGGGAAGCAACATAAAATAGACATAATGAAATCCTGGAATAAAGCAACTTTTATTGAGTATGCTTACATCATTGCAGATGCCATTCTCAATTTTTACTGTTGCTGAAAAAAAACTATTCCTAATAGAATGCTTTTGAAAACCGGTAAAAAAAATGTTGCAGTATAACAAGGTTTACCTAGAGTACACAGAAAATAATGTATTTAAATATGTAAAAGGTTTTAAATGCTAGCCTTGGGGACATACATATTGATTTATAAAACAAAAACTAATCTGTCAACAATTGATAGGAATGAATATCACTTTATAAATATGCTCCTTAAAGCTGATCTCCGGGGCTGACAGATGGGGACCCAGAGCAAGGGTTATCTTCTTGTTTTGCTTAGGGGGAGGATGAAGAGTTAAGCTTTTAAGTTTTTTTTTTTTTTTTTTTTTTTTTTTTTTTTTTTTTAACCTCCCTAGCGGTCTGATTATGTCCATATTGCTCAAAGCGGTACATTTTTTTGCATGGAAAAATGTTTTTGTTTTTTTTTTTTTTTTTGCAGGCCTGTGATTTTTAGGAATAACTCACTGAAATCTGTCCGAACAAGAGTCTAGTAAACATCCCAGGTAGGATAAAACTTGGGACACGAAATCATAAATTATAATTTAATAAAATAATCATAAAAAATAAAATACATTTAATTCAATATAATCAAACCAAAAACACTGAAATTTGAAATATAGCACCAAGTTCGCACATCACTGAGCAAAGTTGCAAAATCGTTTTCAGTGTCTGATGACGCATTTCCCCACGAATCATTATCACTCAATTCTGCAAGTAGTTCTAATTTACTATCGCTGTTCTCTAGCTGGTCTAAAACTGCTTTTGACCTAAAGGGACGCTTTTTGGACGCCATGGGCGTTTCTCAGTTTCCAGGCAGAAAGAACAGTACAAATGTAGGCAGGGCACAGGACAAAGCACTCGGGACAAAATGTATGTGAAATGGTTTGATACAGTAATGTTTTACTATGTGATTTTAGTGAATGTCACTTTTTGTCATTTTCAAATTTCCCGCCGTTCTGTCCCCCATACGTCCCGATGCTCGCAGGGGACAGAACCCAGATGACAGATGCCGGCATCCGCCGGATTACATTGCTGGGGACACTGCAGGAGGGACATCGTGGGAGCACAGGACAAGGTTAGTGATCGAGGGATCGCGGAGCAGCGCCGCATGGTAAGCCCGAGTGTAGCCTGGGGTTACCGTTGTGGTACTGAAACTTTACCCCGAGCTACACTCGGGAATACCGCCAGGGAGGTTAAGCAGCAAGACTACTCTCCACAGCTATATTACCCTGTCAAGGCTGAGTATTCCACTTTCATCCATGTTGAAATGAGCTTTGATGCCTTTTGATTCATAGTCAGAATTCTTCTGAAAACTGCCCCCAACTCCATTAAGTTTGACTGTGGTGAGATTGCGTGATCCAAAAATCCTGAAGGTGGGGAAAAAAAAAAAAAAAAAAAAAACACAAACAAAAAATACACAAACTATTTTAGTAAATATCTTAGGCATCACAACACTTTTCTTTACAGTTCCAGAGAAGTTCTTTGGCTTGTAACTATCAAAGATACAATACAATTGCACCATTTTACAGAAGGCTCCATACAAAGACTGGCAAACAGAAGAGGAAAAGAAAGATTTTACAGCACAGTAAATTCTTAAATTAATAGTGGCAATACACTCGATAAGGGTGTTACATTCAACAGATTGGACCCTACAGTAAGGCGAGGACAACACGGTCAACCAGATATTAGGAGAATAGAAAAGACCGTATAGCAACATAGGTGACATTAGGAGGATATAAACACAAACCCACAGATAAGTCACAGAACCCAATAATCATATAGGAATCATGAAATCTCCTTGGGCACCCTTTGTGCATGTAAATCAGTTTTCAATAATGGAGACTAAAAACATTATTCTTTGATATCAAATAGGTGAGAATATCAGGCTTTATCCAATATTTAGGGGGACATACCCAAAGAAGCAGCACACAAACAACCCAATTTCTTCTTCCTCACCCAGCAACACAGATATGTCAAAGAAGAAGAAAGAAAAAAAAAAAAAAAAAAGGAAGGAAACATGAAGACTCACCTCAGGTCTTCTAGATCAAGAAAGCTAAGGTCTCCATAGTTGATATCAAACTCAAAGTCATCAGTGTATCTATTAAAGGTGATGACCTTGCGCTGTGGGTAAGGGGCAAGCCTTTGAAAAAGAATTCTCTTGTTGTGTTTTATACTTTTTACACCTTCTTCCTCCACCTCTCTAGTAAACTCCACCTGTGGGATTTAAAATCCAAAAGTAGTCTGTCAACAGCAGGTCACACAAGTTCATATAGGATGCCCAGAGTTCTCAGAACCCAACTTTGCAGCACAGCATACTGTAGCATGGATCACGTTAACTCATATCGAGAATGGGTGCTTCTTAAACAACTTCCACCTATCCTAGTAAACTGCATTTCTGTGCTTCAGATCGGTTTTTAAATTAGCACTAGGTATCTGACGGTGCAGGTCCCAATGATGTTGTCCATGGAGCTACCAGGGTTTGCAGCGAAGGCTGGGAGCCCAGCCTATTACGGACCTGTACTAATGATCCTGCTAGATAAAAAAAAAAATAAAAAAAAAAAAAGCTCTGCTGCATGGTATGAGCACAAAACTTGTGAACCAAGGTTACAAGAGAAATTTTATGATAGTACAGGTATTTCCTGTGACCACCAAACGCCACAGAGTAGGATAAAGTGATCTGCCATACCTACTTTCAGAGCAATATACCAGGGCAATAAAATTTGTTATTTATGACATGCAATGGTGCATGGTGGCTTTATCTAGTCTAGACAAATAGTGGTATGTCGATGTTAACATTCGAAAGGAAAAAGAAAAAAAAAAAAAAAAAAAAAAAAAAAAAAAAACCACAAAAAAAAAAAAAAAAACACACAGTGAGGCAAACAAGGCATTTGCCTAGGGCGGCACTTTTCAGGGAGGGGAGAGGAGGGGAGGAGGGCAGGGGCGCCCCCCTCCCCCCCTCCTTTCCCACAGAAGGGACACTTAGGACACAGGCTTCTGTGTCTTAACTGTGTCCGCAACTCCGTATCCCACTTCGATTCGGTCCATGAGGCACTACTGGAGGAGGGGTAGAGAGGGTGTTCACCCGGTGTCCTCATCTCCCTAGATATTTATCGTGATGTGGGTTGTCCCTCATCTGGCCACACCCCCGGGATCATTGGGCAGCCTGTCCATCCCTCTGCAGGCTCCGCCTCCTCGTCGGTGATTGGACGCCGCATCTGTAGCTCAGGAAAGGCACACAGGCAGCCAATCACCGGCGAGGAGGCCGAGCTTGGATAGGAGGAGCCGAGCAGCAGCGTGAAAATCAAAGATGATCGAGTGAGGGACCAGCCGTAGCTGGTGAAGAGGACAGCGGCTGGAGAAGGAAGACAGCTGGTCGTGTCTGACACCAATGGGGGGGGGGGGGGGGGGGGGGGGACTATTCCTCCCACCCCGGACACTCAATGAGGGGGCACCATTTCTCGCACACTGACACTAATGATGGGGCATCATCATTGGTGTCAGTGGGAGGAATTTAGAGGTGCACTTTGACTTTGGTCTTACCACTCAGCTTTGATACACACCTTACATGGCATATTTGAAGTTAGAAGTCTTAAAGTGTTATTAAACCCACAACAGTAAAATCAGTCCGCATATGTGCATATGCAGTAAAGCATGCTGGTTATACTCACTGTGGAACCTAAGGGGTTAATCCTCCACATGGAGGATTAACAACACGCAGTTAATCCCATCTTCTCTGCTTCTCCCCTTCAACTGTCCCCAATCCAGCGATAGTACAGAGCTGTAGGAGTCACTATGCATATGCTCAGTTTAATGTGATTTGCTGGAGAGTTTTTTTTTCTTTTGGAGGGTGCATGTGATCACCACAGAGCCAATCAATCACTGTCCAGAGGGTCAGGGGTCATGCAGCTTCATAGGAAAATCAGAGGAGAATGAAAAATCTTCCTACAAGCTTTAACCAATGCTCAGCTGGACCCTGATAGAAGTCACAAGACTGCTAATGAGAAAAGGTATTTAGCAGTTTATATTTACTAAAATAATTGTATTTCCTTATTTTGTGTACGGTGGGTGACCAGATCTAGTAAAATGCAGGGTCATGGGTTTAGTAACACTTTAAGGAGAAGAAAATCTCCCCACCACACAATAAAATTGACTTCAAGTATTACTAAACCCAGGGACCTCCATATCTGGTCTCCCACAGTACAGAACATGGAAATGCAATTATTTTTGTAAATATAAACTGCGAAATATCTTAGCAGTATATAGCAGTCTTGTGACTTCTATCAGTCTCGAGCCGAGCACTGGGTAATCTTGTAGGAGTTTTCATTCTCCTCTGACCGTCCTATGAGGCTGCATGAAGAGTGGAGGATCACATGCACTCTGCACCCATCCCCCCCCTCAAAAAAAAACCAAACACACACAACCGCTAACAATACACACCAAACCGATCATGTGCAGAGTGCCTCCTAGGCCTCTGTACTATCAGCAGATGGACTGGGGATTGTGGAAGAAGAGAAGACCGGATCAAACCGTTTTTTTTTTTATTACACAATGTGCAGAGGATTGACCCCATAGGTTCCACAGGGATTATAAAAGCATGCTTATACAGACTGATTTTACTGTTGTGGGTTTAGTAACACACTAAGTCATTGAAACATGGAGGATTTTATTATTGTGAAAAAGCCCCTTCTATTTTTTAACTGGAGGATAAAAGTCAGCAGAGCTTATCCTCATTTACTAAGCTCTGGAGCAACAACATTTAGTAAAGGCAGATACTGTGCCCTTTGCAAAACAACCCCTATGTTTATATGTTAAAGCACTGTACAAGCTGTTGGTGCTATATAAATCCAGTATAATAAAAAATAAAGAAAAATATGCACCATACAGTCCCCTTTTAAGCACAAAAGTGGATTTTTTTTAATTTTACCGGAGACACTAAAGAGAAAATGCCATATAGAAAGTTGATTTCACCAAAATCAGGCTTTGTAGGTCTGTGGAGTTTCTTCTTAAAAAAAAAATATAAATAAAATGTACCTGTATTGGATAGATTGCAGCATCACGTACTACAAATGGCTTAACTTTAAATGCCTTGCTAAGAGCAGCTGCTTGATACACAGCTCCCATAGCTGCCGCTTCATCTGCATTTATGTTCTTTCCCAACTCCTCCCTATAAGAAAATAAATAAAAATGTACTTTGCATAAGGCCACTGTAACATGGCTGAAAATATGAACTCTCAGGACTCTTTATAAAGGCTCCACCCATAAAATGCATGCTGTACTTACTTGCCCACTGCTTTAAGAAGCAGTTCTTGAACTTTGGGTACACGAGTGGCTCCACCCACTATGATCACCTGATCGATTTCATCCTGTGAACAAATTTAAAAGTTATCACTACTCAAAGTGATTGTAAAAGGCTTTCTTTTCCCCCTAAAATAATAAAAATGTGTATACTAACCTGCTCTGTGCATTGCACAGAGCTGTACCTTTCCTCCTCTTCTGGGGTCCCCCCCCATCACTTTTGGCTTGTCCTCCCTTTCAATTGCCCCCACAGCAAGTCGCTTGCTATGCAGACACTCATGCAGGCTCGATCCCAAGCAAGGCTGTCTGTGTGTGGGGTGTGTGTCTGTATAGCCACACAGTGCAGTTTGGCCCTGCTCCCGGCTCAAGGGATTTGATTGAAAGCAGCAGGATCCAATGGCTCCTGCCTTCAAGTCCTGAGAAGAGAAAGAGGGCACCTTGCTGGATCAGAATAGGACTCAAGTAGGTATTTGGGTAACGGGCGGCTAGGGGAAGCTGATCATGGAAGGGTTTTTTTTTACCTTAATGTAGAGCAGGCGTGCCCAACCAGTGGGCTAAGATGTACTTCTCTGGGATGGCTGGTCGCAAGCCCAGATCGCGGTTTGCCGAGCCACCATCCCAGAGTATCAGTGTTGTGCATGGAGTCGGTGGCTGAGGAAGCATGCACCTGTAGAGGGAGCAGAGCAGCATAAGCAAATGCTTTCTGTATAGCACCAGCTCTTTTCACAGGCGGAGCAATACTAAATGCACTCCGCCTGGGACAGCAACAGCCTGCGATACCTGAAGAAAGGGCGATTCTTAAATGGAAGACTGGTAAAAGGTCAGTTTATTACTAAAATCACAGTTTATATATGGGCATATCTGTTCTGCAGTGGTTACTGGGCTGCTTTCCCAATGATCCACA